CAGCCAGCGCGGTCTGGGGCTGTGTAATCGCGGGACCTGACCTGGGCGTGCTTCTGTACTTCCTCCTGTGAAAAGATGTGAAGATGAAGCCGTTTTCTGTGCTCCATGTCAAGTTTCTGTGGGTCCGCGATGTTATGTTAAACAGCTGTGGCACATAGCGCACACCGAAATGGGTATTGTGGCGGCTCCAGGTCCTGAGCGCCGGCACATGGCTAATGTGTGGTCGGAAACGGGCGGGAATGCATTGCTTTAATTCGGGAATAATTCATGCGCACACTCTGGGATGTTGCAAAATGAAATTTTATGATTAAAGATGATTGGGAATAATTTTCTAAATGGCAAACCAGAAATGAACATGTATCCAGGAAAAAAAATAAAGGTACTTGGGAAAGGTTCCAGCACATAGCCCTGCAGTGACCTCAGCCCGCATGCTACACTGCGCTAGGGAACACACGCACAAACGAGCACACACAGGTGCGCCTGTGTGTAACGCCAACACACATGCACACAGAGATTCACAGGGGCTGGTATCCCCTGGGTAAAACATGAAGGTCCTAAAAGTCACAGTGATGTCCAGAGCCTGTTCTCATTCATAATCTCCTTTGGAGGGAAAATGCCCCCCTGGAGGGCTCAGGTGGCTTGGTGAGCACCTTAGAGACTTCTAGAAAGGTTGGTTTTATGCAGGGCTGAGCTGAGTCTTCTTTCTTACCCTGGCCCAAAACATATGCAGGCGTGGTTAGCAGACACCCAGTCCCAGACTGGGGGTCTTTCTGGGGACAGCCCTGAACCCCACGACTCAGAGCTGGTTGGATGAGGGTCAGAAATCTTTGCCACATGAGCAAACACTGCGTGTTTCACCCTATGCCCAGTCCTGCAAGCAGAAATGTACAAAAGCAAGGTGGGCATGGGCATGGATGGGAAACAAAATGCCCAGCCCGGATGGGAAAGGCTCCTGTGAGCTGGAGAATGGAGGGCACTAAGAGTGGAAGGTTCCTGCGACAATCTGGTGGCCCTGGCAGGAGAGCCCCCACCAACCTGAGAAGCTGTGTCCATCAAGTACTGCGTTTCCCCTCGCTGGGCTCCCCCTGCTTCCTCCCTCCCCTCCCCGCTGCCCCTGATTGCTGCCCCTCCCTCTATCCTGCCTGGCAACAGGCTTCAGCCTTTGTGCCCCACCCTCTGGAGGAAAGCTGAGGAGGGGGAGCGAGTGAGCAAAGGAGCCAGCGGGGGGGGGGGAGAGAGGGCGTGTGCGTCATACAGGGCTTTTGCCTGACTCACCGTGGGGAGGGGGTAAGGGGAGAGCGTACATGTTGACTGACTACACATGTGCGTATGTCCGGAGGGGGGAGGGAAGGCCATCCTCTGAGGAGCAACATGACATTTAGTGATGACCAGTGACTTCTCTGTTTCAGCAAAAACTGTGCGAATGAAGCTGTGGTTCACAAGGTTTTGGACAGGGTGTTGATGGGGTACGACGCCCGGCTGAGACCAAATTTTGGAGGTAAGCTGCCTCCAGGCCGTGAGGCCTTTGCGTTAGGTGGAATAGATGTGATAGGTGGAGCAGCCAGCCCTACGCAATAAGGTGACCGTGCCGTGGTAGTCCCCGGCTCCCCCGGCCCCTCTAGACCTCACCTTCCGCACCCTGCGCAGACCCAGCCCCATCCTTTAGCTCTGCCTCTGGAATTTCTCCTACTTCTCTGTGGCTTCATGCTCTCCTGTGACAGCACTGCCACCCACCGTGCTCTGCAGGGAGCAGCTCGTTCAGCTAGTTTACAGCTGAGGGGGGCTCCCGCCACTGCCCCCATGGCTTCAGCTCGCACCCGATTGCATTGGCTTCACCTGCTGGACACTTCCCACATCTCCTCTCAACTCTCCCATCAGCACCCAGGTCAGGCCTCAGTTGCCTTGTTCCTGAAAAACTGCAACGACCTCGCAACCCACCCGACCCCACAACACAGAGTTGTGCCAGGGGCCACCCAGGCGAGCTAGACCAAGGGCACATAAAAGAAAGGGTTCAATAAACCAAGAGTTGTCACATTCTGGCAAGCTGTAAACAGGGAAGAGCTAAAGAAGGCCCCAGACTTCAGCTGAGGGGGCACTAAACAAAAACCAAACTCACTGCCCTCGCGTCAAGTCAATTCTGACTCATAGCGACCCCTCCTTGGGTTTCCAGGGCTGTATTTCTACAGAAGTAGGTTGCCTAGTCTTCCTTCCTAGGATTGGCTGGTAGGTTTGAACCATCAGCCTTCTAGTGAGCAGTCAGATGCCTTAGGCACTGTGTCACTGGATGCCCCTAACTCTGAAGGGTTGGTTAATGGTGCTTATGAATAGAGTGCTCTAGAAGACAGAATGCCTCCAAGCAAAGGGCACCCCACAGTGACGTGAAGATGGTGGGGGCAGGCCCTAGGGTCGACCTGTGGGGGTGCCCCCTTGAAAGCCAAGATCACCACCCTGGGCCCTGAGCTTTGGAGGTGGGACGTGGGAGTGGGCTGCTTCTCCTTCCATGGGTGGGTACCTGGATCTGGGAAGCTGGGGTGGAGGGGACAGAAGGCAGGCGCTCACTAACCTTATTCCACAAGGTGGTTTTCAGATCCCTCGTGCCAAGCACAGGTAAGCAGCGGGGGCGTAGCCATCTCATCTCCTCCTCACCTCTGAAGCTTCTCGTCACCACCTTCCAAACAAACTGATTTGTGTCTGTCTGATACCTAAGTGGAGCCCAGTGGCACAGTACTTAAGCACTTGGCTGCAAACCGAAGGGTCGGTGGTTTGAATCCAGCAGCCACTCAGTGGGAGAAGGATGTGGCAGGCTGCTTCTGTAAACGTTACAGCCTCGGAGCAGTTCTGCTCTGCCCTGCGGGGCCACTATGAGTCAGAATCAACTCAAAGACGGCGGGTTTGTTTTGGTGTAGGGGTGCCTAAGTGGGGGGAGTTACATTAAGCTGTGTAGGCGCAGAGATCTGGGGCCGCTGAGGAGTGACGGGTCCCTGGATTGATCCCGCCGAGCAGTAAACAAAGGTAGGAGACAGAGGACAACACAAGACCTTCTTGCATTTAGACAGAAGGGGGCACTGTAGGCACTTAGTTCTGGGCTACTGCCCGGAAAGGAGGGGGTGGCGGGGACAGTACATGAGACAGCTGCCCTCTTAAGGGAGTGGGGGAAGCAGAGAACACAAGGTCCTTGCCCTGGTAGCACACCCTAGAGAGGAAGCCCCGGCCAGGCCCCCGGGAGCAGGACCTGAGGGTGAGCACCTGCGGAGGGTGGAGGCTGGGCTGAAGCTGCTGGGGTGGTTAGCCAGGAGAAAAAGAGGGCTGAGGTGGGCATTCACCAGGGGACTGTGGAAGGAAGGAGGACCGGGAGCAGGGCACAAGGGCCCAGGAGGGGGAGTTGCCTGAGGGGCACTGACAGGGCCAGGAGAGGCGCCCAGCCGCCTGGCCTCCCTGGGGCCGTTGCCTGTAACACAGTGTCCATCCTTCAAGGGCATGTGGGGCCCGGAAAGCAGTGATAAAGAAGGGAATTTCTGGGAGGGCCTGAAGGCTGGCGTCACTCCGACAGCTGGGGCTGGGACCCTGCCCTTCCTCTTTGCAGGCAGCCTCCGGCTGTGGGACTGTGGTGAGGCCAGCAGGTTCTCCACAGCGGTAGTGGGAGGCAGGACACAGAACAATGGCTTTGCCCTAGGGCCGGCCAGAGGCAACGTTTTGCTTATCCATATCCCTGACAGTTTACCACATACTTTCAGATCCATGATCACGTTTGAGTCCTGCCAGCAGAGAGTGGGAACACTGACGTCTGGAAAAAAGCATCATCCCCGCACTAACACATCCGATCCCTCACACGACCGTATGAATTCACACACACAATCACTTAACTCACCTTCACTCACACAGTGACCGCTCACACACACAAACATGCTCACACACAGATTCACATGCACACATGAACGTGCTCATACATTCACTCAAACACACGAAGATACAGGTTAACACACTTCACACATGTGCCCACACATTTAGTCACACACGTAAATGTACACCTTAACATGCTTACACACACAAACGTGCTCATAAGTGAAGATATTCACATAGATAAGTCCATCCATTTAGTCACACAAACACATGTAGACAGTCCCTGGTTATGAATTGGATCCATTCCTAACTGTGTCTTTAATTTGTAGTTAAGTTGGCACAGGTACAACGCAATGCAGTGCACTCCTGTTGAGTCAGATCCGACTCATAGTGACCCCTCCTTGGGTTTCCGAGGCTGTATCTCTACAGCAGTAGATTGCCCAACCTTCCTTCTGAAGAGTGGCTGGTGGGTTTGAACCACCAGCCTTCTGGTTAGCAGTCAAGTGCCTTAGGCACTGCGCCCCCAGCGCTCCCTGGAACAGGTACACCCGGCTCTTATTTAGCCTGACTTTAGTTCAAAAAAGGAACTCTGGTGGTGCAGAGGTTAAAGCATTTGGCTACTAACCAGTAGGTTGGAGGTATGAACCCACCAGTTGCTCCATGGGAGAAAGATGAGGCAGTCTGTTTCTGTAAAGATTGATAGCCTTGGAAATTGTGAGGCAGTTCCACTCTGTCCTGTAGGGGCGGGGTGAGTCGACTCCACAGCAGTGGGTGTGGTTTGGGCTTTGCTTCTGTGATGATTGACAGCCTTGGAAAGCCTCTGGCGTAGTTCCACTCTGTCCTCTAGGGGCGCTGTGAGTTGGAATCCACTCCACGGCAGTGGGTGTGGTTTGGGCTTTGCTTCCCTGAAGATTGACAGCCTCGGAAAGCCTGTGGGGAAGTTCCACTTTGTCCTCTAGGGGCGCTGTGGGTCAGAATCATGTGACCATACATTCACTCAGACACAAACATGCTCACACAGTACCTCACACATTGACTTAGACACAGGAACATGCTCACATATTCCCTCACATATAAATACATTGTCACAAATACACACTCCCATTCACTCATACATGACCATACACAACCTGCTCACACATGAACATGTTCACACATTTGCTCACTCATACAAACATGCTCACACACACACATATTGTTGTTATGTGCTGTCGAGTCAGCCCCAACTCATAGTGACCCCTCCTTGGGTTTCTGAGGAGGTATCACTATGGAAGTAGACTGTCCAACCTTCCTTCCAAGGAGTGACTGGTGGATTTGAACCGCCAGCCTTCTGGTTAGCAGTCAAGTGCCTTAGGCACTATGCTTCCAGAGCTCTCAGAAATGGTCACACTACACAGGCTCACGGGTTGACTCACACCCATGAACATGCTCATACACAAGCATGTTCCCATATTCACCTGACACACAGGCATGCTCACATGCACACACATGGTCACAGAGTCACACACTTGAACATATTCATCAACAAGGTTACACAAATTCACTCACACAGTCACTCACACACACATGCTCATACCTTCTCACATCCAGCGACATACATTAACATGCTCCTGCCTGAATGTGCTCACATATGCATACATGCCCACAGTCATACACGGACCTGCTCACACATTAGCATGCCTCCCCAGGTATTCACACACACAAACGTCCATCCATGCACACATTTGCTCACTCATATACTCAAATGCATATGCATCCACTCGCACCCATATCGACATGCTGACACATGAACACAGTCACACATTAGCATTCTCCCACATTCCCCCACTCTCATGGACACCTTCCCAAGTCCACTCACATAGGCAAACTCTGATGCAGTTACTTGCCCACTCACAGTGCACATTAACAGCTTCACCCACACAAATACACTCGTGGATTCACTTGCACATGAACACACTCATACACTCGCATTTAACCATGTGCACACAGACACGCTCACACATTCACTTAAGCACAGAGAATGCTCACATCCACTCAGACCTATCCACAAGGTCACACACGTGAACATGCTCATACGTGACTGATTAACAGACTCACACGCATGAACACACTAGCTCACACGGACACACTCGCATACATTCACACACAAAGACACAAACGTACCCACGTAGACTCAGAAATTCATTCACACTCATCAGGGACACACCCACTCATGGGGTGGCACATTCCCTCACACACACACACACACACACACATACATGCCCGCATCCACTCACACCCACAGTCAGACTGAGCTCATAGTACAAGCTCTGCCCGGTGAGCATGCCTACAGACATACTCACCTGTGCACATCACTAGTGTTGCCTCTTCAAGCATTGGATCAGGGAACACTTCGAAAGAGAGCGCTTCCTCCCCTGGCTTTCTCGTTAGCTGGCCCTGAGCCCTTCCTTGCCATCAAACAGTTGGAACCCGCCCTCCTGAATTTTTGTGTCATAGCGGGAGGCCTGATGTGAAGTGCACAAGTTGGATTGGGACACCTGCGGCTGGCACTACGTGACTTGGATGACTCCCTTCCCACCTCTGGGCTTCAGTCTCCCCACCTGTCAAGTGATGGAGTAGGGACAGTGGGCTTAGGTTACATGGTCTGCGCCCCTAACTCCCCATTGTGTGGACGGGGAGGGCACGTGTAACGGTGTGCTCCTGCATTCTAGGTGACCCTCTGTCCGTGGGCATATCCGTGTACATCTCCAGGATTGAACAGATCTCAGAAATAAATATGGTAAGTGTTTGCAGCTCCAGCCACAGGGCTGGGGCCAGGGGACAAGGAGCAAGGCCATTAGCTGATGAAGATGAATGCAGTAGGTTTTGGAAACTATAGCTACCTGGGATAAAAAAAAGAAATTACACTGAAGCCCCGTTTCACACCCTGTATAAAATCTCATTGTCAGGAAGAGAATGGACTGAAAGGTGAACGGGTTTTAAAGTGAACCTTGCAGGATGCAGGATCCTGGCTTTGTGTCTGTGAGGGAGGTAAGGATTTTTTTTACAAAAGACACAAAACAGAGAAGCTGACCATTAAGCCGGCAACATGACTATGCTTAGACAAGGCCAGGGCAAGCCCAGGAGGGGCACGTTTGCTCTGTGCAAGAGTGTGGTTGAAGGCAGATTAACTTCCACAGTACTATGAGGCTAACACAAATAACTAGGGAATCTGCCTGGGTGTGTCCTTAATGATTTACTGAAAATAGCCGCATGTTAGTTAAGCTCAATGCTGGGGTCCTGGTAACTGTGACTCAGGGTCGTATGGTCGTGAGTCATACCTTGACCACCTCTTAGCCAAGTGCTCAAAGCACCAGAACCAACCCTGGAAGCTTTTTCACCTGCAGTTGTGGACATGTTCCAATCAGGGTCCTTTCCCTGCCTCTGTAGTCCCGCCTGCGACAGTGAGGGAAGGACTTGCCAGCAATCATGGGCTTGTGATGATTTCCTTTATTTTTTATCACATGCAACAAAAACCATGGCTGGGCGTCAGCGGACACCATCGACCTCATGCTGATGGCTTCCCTCATCCAGATGATTGTCTTTGTTTTGTCTTTGTTTAAGGCTTAATAATAATTAAAAAAGGACACAGAACACACAAACGATTGAAATAAATACTGATAACTTCAGTTAAACTTTCAACTTCTGTTTAGCTAAAACTTGTGGAACTTCCATTTCACAAAATAACAAACCCACTGTAGTAAGTGTGAAAGGGCAGAGGGACGAAGAGATGGCAGCCCGAAGGACTGACATTCAAAATAGGCAGAATTCCCAAATGAGTAAGACTAACAACCCAAGAAAAAAAAATGGTGCACTTGGGTCTTTCTCCCGTGAAGTGGCTGGGGGCGTGGAGTTCCAAACACCAACCTTTTGGTTAGCACCCAAGTGCTTTAACCACTATGCCACCAGGGCTCCTTGAAGAAAACTGAATAACAGATAAGCTTATTAAATGACAGTCAATCTTTCTAGTAACCAGTGAATTGCAAAATAACACCACGATGAGATCCCATCACAAGACCAGTGTTGGTGAGACTGGACCAGCACCTGCTCTTGTCTATGCTTGGCCATTTGCATGTCAATTCAAATGCAAGAATCACCTTGGACCTTTTTGGTGGTTTTGTTTCATCGTGGTTTGGGTATGTAAGGTGTGTTCGCACAATCAAAGGCCTGGTATGTTCACGTATCATACGTATACACGAACAGTCAGAGCCCAGTTGACGACAGTTGACAAACACAGTGTTCACATAAGGGCGTGTGACTCACAAAGCAAGCTTGGAGTACCTACATCAACCTGAAGAGGTCTCACAAAGACAGTGTTGAATGAAAGAAGCACATTACAAATACAGTATGATGCCACGTGGAAAATACACAAAAGTCAGTCTAACTGAGTGACGTGTTTATATAGAATAGCCCTCTTGGTGCAATTGGTTAAGTACTAACCCAAAGTTTGGCGGTTCAAACCCACCAGCCTCTCCATGGTAGATCTGTTCCCATGAAAGTTGCAGTGCTACAATGTCATGTAGGGTTGCTTTGAGTCGGAATCCACTTGATGACACACAACAGAAATACATATGTAGATGGTAAAACTAACAAAAAGCAAGGGAGTTAAGAAAATCTGATAACAGTTACTGCTGAGAAGTGTGGGAAGTAGGTTCTAGAAGAAAGGCACTGGGGCTTGACAGTTACTGTTGTTGTTGTTACGTGCCTTCGAGTCAGCCCCGACTCATAGCAACCCCTCCTTGGGTTTCCGAGGCAGTATCACTACGGAAGTAGATTGCCCAACCTT